TATATACTCCTGCACACTGAAATATATGCATTTTATATTATACACACACACGCGGCGATTCTTTTAATGCAGACAATGCATTATGCATATAATGTTGATCACTTCTTCAAGTAAATTTTTGACATTTTATTTTTGGAAAATATAAAATKCGTATATGCGGTTCGAACGTTCTTCGGGCATGTCAGCTAATCCACTGGAGTCGAATCAAATATATTACCTATATAATATGTACCTTAGTATATATTATGCAAATGCAAATTGCCAATTTCATGATTCCGAATAGAAAAATGTTCTTAAAATATGCTATGTAAGTGACATCAGGAAATTGAATTAATTTTTAGTTTTTTTTATTATTATTAACATTTAAGGGTTTGCTATTTAGAAAATTATTTTGCTCAAATTATGAAATCAAAAATATAGTTCATCGTTTAAAAATAAAAATACGATCATTTTACTTTGGTTTTGCCATCAAATACAAGTGTGGAAATAAATGGGGCAACTGTATAATGTGATTTTCTATTCTAAAATATAAAAACGTTTATAAGAAGCACCGTGTAAATATTAATTGTATACTATATTAGTATTGATATGTTCAATAATTATCTGAATATATTATATAAGTCATTAAAACTAGAAAAAACACAAACATACAAAAAAAAAAAAAATAGATACACAATCATATTATTTAATAATATTTATATATATAAAAAAAAACAGCGTTATTATTAACATATAATATAATTATAATATTATAATCGTGCAATAAATTACGACTGACTGCTGTACACTCTATATTGTCATCCACACAACACTTACAATATATTATGTTTACAGGTTAACATTGCAAATGTTTAATTATGATAACAATAATAATTGTCCAAGCATACGACGCATGTGTTTTAGATTATTGCATACTCGACGGGTAGGTATAAAATTATTGGGTAGTCGTCGTTTGACGGACAAACGTCTGCAGTATAATACATGGTTACGCGATAACGATTAATTAAACATTTCGACACGACAACATTAAATCAATATAGGTATATAATATTATAATATCGTATAAATGTGAACATTGTGAACGCACACGTATGTGTATTATTTTAATATTAATATATTCGCAATCGCGCCCGTCCAAGATATTCACTTCAAAAAGTGCTATTATTTTTATTCACGAAAAATAGATATGACTTTACGTTTAATCGRTTTTTCTTGTTCACGTGTGCATAAAATTAATAGATAGGTCGATAGATTAATGCGTTATACCTATTTGTACCTATTTAAAAGAAATTATGGTGTACGAGCATAAAACACGTGTCGACGTATGTATATAAATATAATATTATGTACCCAAGAATTGCATCGCAAAATAAGTGCAAAACGAAAGGCACGTGCGGCGCCACTGCAACAGCAAACGATCATTGATATTTATAAACACATCTAGCTGAACTTTAGAACTTGGGGCGGACAGAATTTTAGGTACGATTCGACACAATTTCGTCTTGTGAACCACGAACGGGTGAAAAGTTCATGTATTATTATCGTTGCTGTCGATCATTGAAATCGCGAACAAAAAACGACGTCTAAAAGCCATATTTCAAATGCGGACACACGTGTAATTCCCATGAAATTATAGTTATAGGTAGGTGAAAATAATATTTTATCTATGTGAGCAGTTATTGATTTCTATGAAAAAACCGCGTTTCTTCTTCCGCCTAGATCAGAAATAATATATATTACATTGTGCGATTAAAAAGATTGCGTTTAATGGCAATAGTTTTTAATACTGATAATTTTTCTGCTGTTTAGTAAAAAAAAAAAGGGAACGTGAATAGCAAAAAAATTGAATGTTAATTCACATCTTAGCTTATTAGGACGAAAACATTTAGTCTGTTTTTCTCTATTAGTTCCTATCTGTAAATTGAATTTTTCGAGTTAAGCAAAAAAAGGGTGTGTATATGTATATGTACTACAACCTGAGCCGTGACAAGCGAAAACATGACGCACATGAATATAATAATGTGTGTAATGTGTCTAATCAACCTGATACATTTGTGTAGACTAAATGCAATTATTGTAAAATAAAAATAGAATACGCAGTTCAACATATTGTATTCATGCTCGTGACACCATACAAACTAATATGTGCAATACGTCTCAAACGGACAACACTCTAAAATTAGCCATTCGCGTTGGCAGATGATCAATTGTCTATTGATATTAATACAAAGAATAAATATTATAATACAAAACGAAAAATATTAAAAAGCTTTATCTACCTTATATTTAAAAGTTGCTCAATAATAAATTCATTTCGAGCTTTAAAGTATGATAATTTTCTTCCAGACGGGTTGCCGGCGTACGAATAAAATGTATTAATGCAGTAACGATTAACAATTCTAATTGTCGCAACAATTATTATTTAGATTCTAAAATTTACAAATCTTRTTTTTGTTTGATAATATTATATAATGCTTAAGCTAAACAAATAAACAATCATATTTCTTTGGAAYTTGACACATTTCAAGTGGTTATTTTTAACTATTCATCATAGATAATATATGTTAACATAATATGGAGTTAGTTTGAGAGCTCTGACATTTTCCATCTGCTGGTATTAAATAAAATCCAGTCGATATAATTTCATATAATATTTATAAAATCACATAAACCGACTACCGAGCAATGTGATACAATACAAATCGTAAAATTTAAATAGTTATTAATTTCTCTATCAAGGGAGTCATTATGTGTTATCARTCAATATGGACCAGTCACACAACAATATCAACACARTAAAACTTAATAATTTCACTATATTTTGGTTTATTTACTTAATGTACATTTATATTATTATRTATAATTTTTAATTTTTCTTTTAAATATCATTTATACTTAATCAACTGTATGTATAATATGTTGTAATGTCCATTGTTTTATGACAATTATTTAAAACACAACATAATATCATGGATCTATCCCTTATACCAAGATACATATTATATATCTTTAGAATTTGATCCGTTGATCGTAACAGAGATTGAAATTTATCTTTAGTAAACAGGTTTTTTCAAAGGTATTTTTCATACCATCTAATCAAATGAAAGAAGAAATAATTATTTTTGATTTGTTCGTATAGTTAAATTATTAATAAAATAATATTTTTAAAACGTAAAACACGCGTATAATAACGTAACATACTCGTCAAACAAACATGTCTGTATTAAATATTATAACAATCATAATAAATAAACAAAACTAAATATGAGGTACTGTAGCAAAATGATTACTACTTGCAYTATGCGTWTGATAATTCATAATGAACAGTACGCCGTACATATTAGTAAATACCTAAACAATATATAAAGGCGACATTAATCACGAGTGGTTCAAGTCAAATCGGATTTCTATAATGGAATTGTTTTATAACGTTGAGTGCTCTACGTATCTAATTTGACGTGATACACAAAAGCCGTGAATACTCTGTATATACCTAAGTATTACGATGATTATAATCTTTTTATTCAAATCATTATAATTTATAGGTGAACCTATACGTTTTTAAACAATTTTACCGATCGTCTATATTTTGCGACTGTTTCGATTGATAACTCCGAACCGCTCGTAATAATTATCGTCGTTTATACACACTGTATATATTATACGTATAATATAGTGCACACAAATTAAACGCAAAAAATATAATATAATATATTAATAAACAACTATGCGTGTTGTARACATTTGCAATATGTACCGAATATTATGATGGTGATATTATTATTATGTGACAAAGATGATGATGTAATTTTTATCACATTTCGTTCTACAGACAGCGGCGCACACGCGGGATGACTTATTATTTCAGTGGATTTAATTTAAATATGTTTTTTTGTCATTATGTTTTTTTGTCATGTTCGACGAATGCCGGACTGCAAAACGAATTATTCAAATGGCGTTCATCTGTCGTTCGTTCTTCGAGTATTGTCATTCGATAAAAAAAAATTGTAATGTACGCCGCCGTTTTTCGGACTACACCATTAGCAAATATAGGTGTAAATGGGTGACTCGTTACTGTATATATAATAATAATATTGTGTTGTGATTTGCATCGCACACGGACGAATGAAACATTTTACTCGACGACCTATTTGATATTATATAGTAGAACGGAAGCATAAAAAACGCACAGTRTACAACAACAAGAAAATAATCTAACAAGATTTTTATTAATTTCAATACAAATCCGCGAACGCACTAACTTTTTTGTTTTTTTGACAAAATTGAATGAGGCGGGGGCCCGAAAAACTTATATACGCCTATATATAGACACCATTAACAAATTGCCATCATATATATATATATATATATATTTATATNTCCCACTAATTATATTCCTCTCATCAACACTTTAAATACCAATTTATTTATAACTAATAAATGACTATTCCGAAATTTAACTTTTAGAAGTCAAAATGAATTGAATATTATTTGGAAAGTAGAATTATAAAAGGTTAACACACTATAGGTGTCATAAAGATGTGAAAATAAAAAAAACAATAACGACACATTGTGACTAAATAATGATAAATACGTACAAATGTGTGAATTTAATATCATATGACTACAAATTTGTTATATATGTAGGTAGTTAATAACCTCCGATATTATGATTATACGTAGGTGTATTGTTTTTGTTATTATTATTAATTGMATTTTTTTTTGCATTTTTCCGTATATAAACGTCGAAGCATTAGACAAAAAGGAAAACTTCCGCTTATTTTACTGTGCACGAAGACTGGTTTGGCTTACCGTAACCGAGTCCTTGCAAGAAAAGCCGCAGCGCTTCACACATTTTTTGTGGTACCTCTTCCAGCACCATGCTACAGTCAGATATCTATATGAGAAAAAAAACAACGATGACATTAATACAAAATTTAACAAGTAGCTGGTAACAGTAGTGGCAACATAGTCAACGTGTCGAGACGTCTATTTTCTAATCCGAGACTTGAGACCGTTTTTAATCGTTTCGTCGAACGGATTTTGATTTCAAGACTAAATCACGATTTCCAGTAAGCATGTTTGGCGCATTTTATGATCGGTGCATGTACATTGAGGTCCGAAATCACGCTTAAAAAATACGAAAAAAAATTTTAAAACGGTCGCAGATCGATAATAGACGCCTCGTACTTTATTAATAATATCGCGGTACTTCGGACGAATAGGGTTTTCAAACGCAGTCATACAGAAACAGCAAATATCTACTTAGTACTTATGATATTTAATAACGATTGGCCACATAATAATTATCCGGGATTATACATAATGTTATACAACGTCTGCGCAGTTCCGCGCGCGTTATTTTATTCGATCATATCCGAAATTAAACAAAAAAAAATTTCCATTAGTCGTAGATATTGCACGTATTAGAGATTGGACAATTACGCTGCAAGTAAGCCTAAATTCATACGTCACACATACAAATATATATATATACATACATAAAACGAGAATGTTTTTGTCACTATTGTATTTCTATGTAGTGTTGGTTTTGCATGTTTTTGTGACAGTTCGACCGTAATCRTATACCTAGGTTAGTATCTTTTTTTATAAATTCGATTTTACACAATTTCTGTTTAATTTAACTACACATTTTTTTTACCTTTATAAATATGCGTGTGGTGTTTTACTTACAAATATTTTCGCAAGTGTTAAACGTACTAGTTACTTCAAAGCTCATAAAAAATAAAGGTAAATACATTTGAATTTCATAATTATTTTACATACTCCCAGTCTAAGACGTTAAACAATAAGTAATCGTATTGATATATAAATATATATTGGTATACTATATATTATATATAAAAGTTGCTATGTATTGTATTACATAGTTTTCTGGACTTGTATGAATATAATTTATGATATTAAAATAGTTTTATAGAAAAATTTGATTCAGTATGCAGTAATATCATTAACAACCATTAGAGCCTTAAGAGTGTTCAAAGTTTAYTTCGTGATTTTTGTACATATATTTATAATATATGAAAATACATTTTTWAAATAGGTTTCATAGTAAGGGTGCAAAAATATAAAAACKTAGACTATTAAGGGGGTGATCTACTTTTCCACCAAAATCGAACTTTCCGTTTATCGCCACCACAAATTWCAGTTTCTATATTTTGGTAACCCCTTGGTAATGATTTTTAAAATAACAAAAATAATTAGGTAATCAATTTTTRATTAAATATATGATTTTACGAAAACACATTCAAGTGATACTTAAAATTAAAATTATATAAAATATTGTATAATATATTATAAAAAGTCAATATTACGACGTAAAATRCAATATCACAGTCAAACATTTATTTATTTATTATAATTATACGCAATTGATTAATGTTATAGGTATCGTAAAATCTATAAAAGATCAAACCAGACAAGCGTTATCTTTAKTGTCAGTCGTCGCATGAATTTCGAACATAATCTTATTAATAAGGGAAAAACATGATTTTGAACATATTATTATCTACGTGTACGTAGGTATATAATATAATATTTTAATACTTTCAATCATAATTATTTAAAGTATCACTTGAATGTTTTTTGTAAAATCATATATTTAATTAAAAATTGATWACCTAATTTTTTCTGTTATTTTAAAAATAATTACCAAGGGGTTACCAAAATATAAAAACTGACATTTGTGGTGGCGATAAAAGGAAATATATATTTTTGTGCTGGCGGTAAACGGACTTGGCGCTAAACCGAAAGGTTGATTTTGGCGGAAAACGGTGACGCCCCTATTAAGGAATTCCGYGTTTCCACCAAAATAATATTGGCCGTTTCTATCATAGCCTTTTTCCGCCAAAAACGAAAAAGGWACGATTCCTATATCTGCTAAAAAATTTTGAAAAATTATAATTTATATTTTTAAAACAGTATAATTATTACATGAATTATAATTTGAAATATTGAAATTAAATGGATATGTGATATTATGCAACTATAAAATAATAATAATATTTTCTTATTTTAGTATAGGTACAYACATTAATCATTATTGTTACATATTTTGTACATGGGTTCCTAAATAATAATTGGCTGAAACATCTTTCTGCAATAATACATTTTGGTGGAAACGGGAATGATGCTTTTTTTTATTTTGGGCGGAAAAGGCTATATGCGTAAATCAGGGAACCTTTTTTTATTACAAAAACGGGCTATGCCTGATTTTTATACAGTCACAAAAATGTATTGTTAGTGGGTCGTTGTRTCGTGGTGATAAGGTAAATTGATTACCTTGACTCAAAAAATTGGATTAAGAATAGTTAATACCTATTTATAATTTATACTATAATGTTTGTTCGGCCATTATGATTGTTACCGTATTTAATTGATGTACTTATCAGATTCGATCCAGTCAAAAATCAATCCATTAACTTGAAGATCACGTAATTTATATTTGGTATTTTTATTAAATCATCTATAAATTCATGCGTTTGTTGTTCAAGTGCCCACTTTACTGTCTGTATCGTGGAAGTATAATTAAATTGCTTAAGTAGGTAAGTGTAACAACGACGAAGTTTATAACTTTTGATTATAATAATGTAATATAGTTACCTACTATAAGTTGATCAAAATTAGTTAAAAGCCATTTTACATAAAATCATTTTGAAACAAAAAMCMAMCSKYYTYMWWAMMAMMARKYMAARRATCGTTATARGTACGYCATGACGTGATATAATACTATTTTTCGTCGTTTTTATATTTTAYACGAATTATAATGAATGTAATAAAGTCGTCGAATCACTACATCAGAAGTGCACGATAAACGKTACGGTTATAGCCATATTGTRCACTAGCCTACATTTGATTAAATAYAAATACGACGCAAAACAATTAAAGGGTATAGCTTACATTATTTTAGTGACCCGCATTGTTATCTTTCCGATTTGCATGCACCCAACTAAAATAATAAGTCCTCGTTGAAATTGTACACGACCGATTATACGGAATCCGTTCCCCGTTTAACATACGTCTCGTCACACTCAGTGATTTTGTGATTTCTAATCGACTAATGGTGATTAATTAACCAAAACCATTGATATAATGTTCAACATTTCGTATATGTGGGTGCTTAGTCGYTTTATTCGTTATTTATATTTATTGTACTTTCGGTCAGCATATAACTTCATGCTATATTTTTCACTGCTTGACGACAGAACAGCCACATGCATTTTTTCAAAACCCTATTCCAAATCATCATTATTTATTCCTTTACACTTCATATTTTATCGTAAAAAATGAAAGTGTTATTTTATTTTCATCTGTTATGCCAAGTGGTAAACGTGTTGACGTCCACAAAATCTTACAACAGAGGTAACCATTATGTTGTTATGTACCTATTGCTGTTTAAAATTCACACGCATGCATTTTGATTGAAATTATTATAATTTATTATTATAATCATTAGCTGGGAATTGCATACAAAACGACGAACACGTAGAAACTTCATTCGTCAAGGAATTGTGTAAATCAAATCCAGATTTGGAAGAGTTTATGATAGCCGCCGACATCTTGATAAGATCCGATTGTGCTTTGATCGATTCGTGTAGAAGAGTGATCGAGCAACCTCACGATGATATCGACGAAGTAGACTTCATAGTGGTTGGTGGAGGAGTCTCAGGTAAAAGATCATTTAAGCTCAGTGTAAATATTTAAACGAGGTGTTATTTTTTTATTGAAACAATAGCAGCTTTATTATGGTGAATACCCGAACAATCYGTTTCGTTTATAATTTATAGTTACAAAGTGTTGTTATATTTTTACATGATAATAAACATTTAATCCTTTTCTTTTATTCATTAAGACTATAAACACAATAATCTACTTAGGATTTTCAAATAACAACTTAAAGTTTTTATTTTTAATTCTCGTTGAGATATTTTTTGTAAACATTTTGACATTTTTCGAGTAATAAATCTGACTTTTGATATATTATAAACAAATATTATTATTAATTATAATAGCTGGTGAAGGGTAAATATTTCATGCATTTTAAGACAATCATTCTGATCTAACCTAAACTTTAAATTATTRTAAAACTAATGTGTCATTAGTTTTTGGATTAATGCACTTAAATTTTTTCAGTGAAATATTATAYTTGGTAATTTAATATTAATGTTAAAGGCTACCATTTGAAAATTGATACCATTTTAATAAATAAAAACCGCAGCACGAAAAGAATAATAAATTATGAAAAACCCAGAATAGCACGTTTGTTATGGAAATCGATAGTGGACAGTTATTTTAGCCAAAGCATACTAATCTTTTGTCCATCAAAATTCTGATTGACAAAGTAATGTGATATTACTTTTTAAAACTGATTTGAATTCGCAATGACGRCTACTCGAGATTGGTTTGTCTAATTTTCCCTGCTTAAATCCCCCTCCCTTAAATAATTATTAATTTTCAAACATTAATTATTCGGAATTTAAAACAGAAACCTTAAGGAGTTTGAATTAGGTAAATTTCAAATTGCATCGTGTGTACATGTCACCGCTTCGGCGTTTCACAAAAGAACAGTAAACAATTCAATTTGTTCATTTGTATGTGATTTTTGTCCATCTTACCGATCGACCTATTATTGCGATAATATTTAAGACCACTAACGCCTATAATGTATTGTAAATCTCCAGGTCCCGTAGTGGCTGGGAGACTATCGGAAAATTCTTCCTGGACGGTGATCCTCTTTGAATCCGGTCCAGAGCAACCAGCAGCCATCGACATACCTGCCTTGCTGAGTTCGGCAATCGCTACGAAGTACGATTGGCAGTATTCTACAACGCCGCAAAAACACGCTTGTTTGGCATATGGGGGAATATGCGGCTGGCCCCGAGGAAGATTATTGGGCGGAACTGCTTCTCTGTCGGGTAAATATAATWCAAAATTTGCTACAAAGATGTTGATATGATCATTTTAAAAACAAAACATGACCAAGGGTTGAGTGTGTGATRTAGATTTACGGCTAATGTACAATGTATTGACCTACGTGGATAAACGAGACACAATTCTAACGGATGTGTGATATCGGTGTWTAAGCTGGAAATCTTCAAAATAACATTAACTATTTTTTTAATCTAACATATAAATGTATTTTAATACTATTTATGTCATACCACAATAATACAATATAGCGGTGTATGCTATTCTATTGATATATTTTAGGGTAATTATTATTATTATATTTCCATTTATAAAATTTGACATCACTACAACCTACAATCATCGGTATGATTTGAAATTCAAATGTGCAACATATGATAAACATATATACGTAATTAATAAATATTCAAATAATAAAACTTCATTGTGTGTTTGAGAGGGTAATTTGCATACTTGTACCTAGCAAGGACATTTTGAAATTTTTACAACAAAATATAAATCTGATAACTATTGAATATATAGTTATAACTAAAGTGAATCGTATTTTTTTTTTTAATAAAATGACACTTTCACTAAACATATCATTATATTAAGTTTACTGAAATTAAAAAAAGATTAGGACACGTGAATTTGAAATTGAAAACTTGTACCTACAAAAACAAATACCAAATACCGATCTAATCGTATAATATTCGACCTTTTTTAAGGTTCGATGTACTCGAGAGGGCACCGGAACATTTACGACGGGTGGTTGAGGGACGGCAACGTCGGTTGGGGATACGACGACGTGTTGCCGTTTTTCAAGATGTCTGAGAACAACAAGGACTACAAAACGGAAATCCACGGAACTCGGGGCCCGATTCCGGTGCAAAAGCCCACGGAAATTTTGTCGATATCGCGGACGCTGATTGAGGCTGGCCGGGAATTGGGGTACTCGGAGATAGACATGAGTGACCCGGACCCGATGGGTTTCTCGATCGCGCAGCTCATGATCAACAAAGCCAAGACCCGAGTGACGACGCCCACGGCGTACCTGCGACCGCACCTGAACATCCGTAGCAACCTGCGCGTCAAGACCAACTGCCACGTGACACGACTGTTGTTCGCAGCGGACCGACGGTCGGTACAAGGCGTCGAGTACGTGGACAGCGCGAACCGCACCAGACGTATGATGGCTAGAAAGGAGGTGATCCTGAGCGCAGGCGTCATAGGGTCTCCGCACTTACTCATGCTGTCCGGCATCGGACCGGCAGAAGACCTGCGACCGCTTGGCGTGCCGGTGGTGCAGGATTTGCGGGTGGGACACAACCTGCAGCACCACGTGGCCAGCAAGCTCAGCTTCCAGCTGAACGTGATGCACGATCGGCTGTTGACGTACGAGACGATCGGCCAGTACCTGAAGAACAGGTCGGGTCCGCTGTCCACCACCGGCGCTCTGCAGACGTCCGCGTTCTTGCGGTCCGATCAGGCGGGGCCTACGGACCCGGCCGATTTACAGTTTTTCTTCGACGGATACTCGCCGAACTGCGCTTACGCCCAACCGGTGTACGGCGGGTGCACGGCGGCCTCGACCCCGGTGCGCATGAACATACGGCCGGCGAACGTAATGCCGCGGAGCCGGGGCACCATTCGGCTGATGAGCGCCAACCCGTTCGTCCGGCCACGAATCGATCCCAATTACCTGGCCGCTGAGACGGACGTCGAAGTACTGGTGTGGGGCCTGCGGAAGGCATACGAACTGGTGCACACCAAGGCTCTGCAGCAGCTGGGGGCCACCGTTGACCGGTCACCCGTCAAATACTGCAAAGGGTTCACGTTCGCCACCGACCCGTACTGGCGGTGTCTGGTCCGTTACCACACGCAAGGCGAGAACCACCATGCGGGCACGTGCAAGATGGGCCCAGCCTCGGACCCGTCAGCCGTCGTCGATTCCGAGTTGCGAGTGCACCGCGTCCGCGGCTTGCGCGTAGTCGACTCGTCCGTGTTTCCGACACAGCCCAACTGCAACCCAATCGCGCCCGCCGTCATGGTCGCCGAGAAGGCAGCGAATTTCATTAAGAACACGTGGCGCTGACGCTAGGCCGTACCGAACATGTCCGCGATTCACGTACTCGACGCGCGACGGCGGCATACCGGTACGATTCGTGATGCAGTCGACGGTATCTTGGTGACGTCCGCCATATGACGACATCGGCAAATATATTGTAAATTCGAACATCAAAAAAATAATATTTCAATTCGTCTCCCAACAACTTGTATACCTACTGCAAAGATCGTTATTGATGTACCCACCTTTTAACTCAGTATTCCATTTTAGTTATATAAAATTATATTTATTTATTTATGTAACATTATGTATATTATTATTTATTATGATATCACAATTATAACTGTATAAATATTTCGATTTTGTACGAGTTTAAATTGGTATTATTAAATAGAAATAAAATAAACGCCCTTTTTAAACTCTATATTATATTATTATATTATTCAAGTTTATTACACTATTTARAATAATATTTTACTCAATAATTATTATACCTAGGATGATATCTTTAATAACACAGTTTTCATTATGTGAACCATGTCATTGGTTTCTCGACTAATCACCGAAATACATCATTCATAATAGTCATTACCAATATTTTTAAAGTTACGTGTAATATTTATTTCTCATACAGTCATATCTCATATAATTCAAATTTTTGTGCAGAGAAACTTATAAAAATATATTTGTACGCATTCAATTACATAGAGTTATTTTTTTTTACATTTTTATCTGTAGAATGCTTTTAAGATGACGGTGCCGAAATTATAAAAATAACAATAAATAGTTGAAGTGTTTTTGTTTTACATTATGATAGTTAGTGCCTTATTTACCATTCACAAATGACGAACCACAGTGCCCTATACTATCGCAAACTACAAAGCAGAGTGTATTTTAACATATTTTTGGCCTCAAATGAAATATTTCTGCAGTCATTACTGAGAATGAAATTTGATAGTTTTAAAATAGGTATCTTTGTAATCCCAAAGAGAAGAAAACAAACTTCTCGTCACTATAAGAACTCGAATTACAACATCGATATACCAGTACTTATAGTATGTGCCTACAGTTTATTTTTTTTCCATGACGATTGAATAACGTCAAAACAATAATAGCGGGTACCTATACCCTGAGTGGAAAACCAACGAAAACAACAGGAGGAAAGTTTAGATTTCAAATTAATGAATTGGCAAACGAGTGTTATTTTTATAAATAATTAACAGATTTAAATGTGTGTCAAATAATGACGACAAGATACCACTGATACAGAGTCGATCTCAAGCTTAGAAATCGTGTAGTGGTCACATCATCTGTTGTTATAATACGAACGATGAAGTACTTTTTTCTCTAAGAATAAAATTTAAAACAAAAATTAACTACAGCTGAARATGTAAAATACCAATTATTATCGTCATCTGTAATATTTGTTTTGTGTTAAATATTATAGACAACTTAGCTAATCATGTATAAAAAAAATATACTGCTGTAACCATGTGTCATAATAATATTAACAATATAACTAACCTTGTTATGCACTTGAAAAAAAAGATTCAAGTGAAATTGAAATACCTATACTAAACAAACACAGTAATACTAGATTCTCAACTGCTTCTCAAAACCACCTAATTTAATGTACCGAATGCATTATTAAAAATAATTGTTAGGTACCCAATTAAAGTTATTTAATTTTTTTTTTTTTAAAGATTTTGGTTGTTAGAATCAATGTATTATGTTATGTCTTAGCTAATTTATCGATTATTCTTTATAATCTTGGTTTTCCAAATAATTCTTAATTTTTATYTGACCGCGAGGAGTCATCGTTTAAAAACATAGACAGTTTTAAATTATATTAAATTATAMATTTTAACACCAGTTAAGGAACGATATTTTTAAACTAGGCTCAAAAGTGAATGAAAAATATATAGGTGTATTGCGTAGAATGAATAACTTAAAAATAAMCAGAAGTAAAGATTCCCCATACAAAAATGTTCGGACACCGAGAACACATTATTGATCTATGTCAAAATTAATATTGATCGCATTAGTTTCTGAAAAATTAGTAATGATATCCGGACATATTATACWGGATGTTAATTTAGAAAGTTTGTAACCATAATTCATGATGTATAGCAAATGTTTTAATACAATTTTAAACATTTACARATTATAATGAGTGGCTTGGTGAGGCGCGATCGTACGCTCAATCTGCGGAAACGCACTGAGCGAACGTACCGGATAGGTGATCACCAGTAATTTTCAGCAATATATCCTTGCCACACATACACAAACACGTGTTACAACCCTACCCACTTATAAACYTACAAACAAATATACAAAAATAACCCCTACCGTACCACCCCACRCCCAATGGTCTATGTTGCCGCGGCCGCGGGTTCCCGCTACAAAAAAAAAATAAAATATATATAATGAACAATACCTCCATTTTACCTTTATTTAAATGTAATATATAATTTACATGCATATATATATTAGCAGTTACCGACTTTCCAATTAATTAAAACTATAATATGGAATTGTATGAATACCCAGAAATACCATTCCACCTTAAGGACATTTTCTTTGTAAATTCCCTTCATTTAGTTAACTTCATGTAATGTTGCGTGGGTTTTATTAAGATTGATGTGGAATGAACAACGTGAATTCGATAAAATAAACTTTGGTTTTTATGTATAAATATTTAAATATAGGTACGTACAACACTGCAACACTCCAGTTGATTTTAAAGAAAATTGTTTTATTGATTTGGTGAAATTTATATCATAATTTTCATTGTTTTAAGTGCGTTTGAAGTGATGCAAGTAGCACTAATGGTGCAATTAAAAAATATTTTCGTGGAGGTCTAGTTCGTTCAATTATATAAAATATTTACATTATACACATAAAAATAAGATTTAATATGCTGGCAGCCGAAAAAAAAACAGAAAAGTAAAATTTTGAAGAGGAGTTATAACCCCCCACGGCCCCCACCCCAACAACCCCCTCTGGTCACACCATTGAGTAGCATTAGTTCTCAGTCTATTTTTGTGTCGGACAGCAGTATGATTTTTATCTTAACATAATTTATAGCACGGCTCATTGTATAGGCAATATAGGTACATTTATGCGACATTGTTGTATTTTCGACAGCTGCATAAGATACGCTCAATAACAGTAAATTCAGCCCAATAAAGTACATACAAGATGTTACAAATGATTATATAGATCAGGTGTCAGACTTTCAGCTCGAATATTTCCTCCTTATTCCTATACATATAATTAAACATTGTGTATTATAGTTTCAACGCTTATATAGAGATTTTCAAAGTCAACTATTACAATTTTTGCCAATAGCCAAGACTGAAAATATAGGTAATTTATATTACTTTTTCAAATCAAACATAAAAGATTTTAAAAAAACTTTTATAGAAGATTTACCTCGAAAACCGATTATATTTTTATGTGTTACCCCATTCGATAACTCTTTTCGGCTTTCTATAAGCTGATCGAAATTCCAAAAAAAATTGTCTCTGTATTAAGTCACTTACTCGGCTATATTGTCGAATGTCTATTTTTCATGCATATAATATAAGCAATACTTATGAACTAGAAAATTGTAGCGCGCACAAATCTTATAACGAAATTCTTATTTTACGAAAATCACACCAATATAAACGTTATGAAATTATTATCGTTGACGAAAATTTCGTGGATGGACAACCGATCATTCCAACTGGACCTTTATTGTTTAAATCAGTGGTTCTTAAACCGTAGTATGCGTACCACTAGTGGTATGCAGAAGTCTTTGAACTGATAGTACAGAAAATGAATAAATAAATATTTTTAATACCTAATGTTTGTTGAGGATTTATTGTTATTTTATATTTTCTGAAAATAATAGAAAAAACTGTTGAGTCATTGATTTTATACATTCTTATTGTTGTAGAAGTATTAATATTTTGTATAATTCAAATTTTATAGTAATTATTACTACACAACGACTGATGCACAATACGGATGAGTGGTACGTGTAAAAAAAAAATGTTTGAGAACCTCTAACTCAAATTGATACTTGATATTATACATCTAGCTATTATCTGTACCGTATCTATGTGATTAAAAAGGAGGGGGGGTCTCACCTTCATCCACGACGACTTGGTCGGATCCAGTCTCGAGTTGAGCGTCACCGTGTCCTCTTGGTGCGGCGACAGAGCTCCGCACACGTTGATGATGGGCATCTGCAACGTGGTGGTCATGCTGAGCCGGCGGCCTGCGGGACATGACTCGGACGTGGGCGTACTCCTGCTGATGCCCAAGTCTGTCCGTCTAACGTACGAGTCGATGAATGCGGCCAGATTTCCCGGGTGGACGCTGTGCTCGAAGTACTCGCGGTATACTCTGGCCAGATCGTGGTTCCTCTCTTCGGTTCCCTTTGAAAACGGACGAGCAACACATTTTATAACGACCGCGGAATAAKATATTACTGTATACATTGTAAAAGATAAATACATCGAATAACAGACAGAACTGATTGACTAACTGTACTGCACATTTTAATGAATTATTATATCACTTTTGAAATAATCGATATTATTCTTTTTTTTTTTTTATTTAAAATTAAGCCGCAACAACAAAGATTATTGGCTGAAGTTAAATTTAACATATGGTGATAAAAGGCGGGATATTTATACAATTCAAGCTTGGGGTGTGAAGGTGTGTTTAGTTTAGGTTATATAATTTAGATAATTTWAAAAAGGTAAATATCTTCTGAGTGTTTCCGGGGTCAGGACCAAGAGCTTCGTAGAGRTTGTCAGCTAGTTTGARGTTGACTCTGATATTATTCTTTGTGCAATTGTATACTACGTATTAATAATATTATATACGCATTAAAATTTATAGCATCACATGCCCAGTTAATKTATTCTCTCAGTTCTTTCTGTTTTATAATGTTTATACCTACGTGGTATTTAATAATTATGGTAACATCGAACGTCGGGTAAACCTATTATTCATATTTTATATTATTTTATGGCAAAACTTTTTTAGTACGTTATATTATAATAATAATACCGAAAGCATGGAGGCGGCTGATGCGATTATATGGTGTTGGGTATTGTAACTAATTATTCAAACTTTAGCAAATTATGTGATATCGTATAGCAGACATATTTTGTTCAGTGGGTCTGACCTTATATGTTTTTAAAATATTTTATAATTTTGCAACTATATTGTATTATTAATTGCATACTTTTGCGGATTTAAGCACTTATATTGCCATGCATCCCATATATTATTATACATTATACATATTATAAAATTATACTTTATAATGTTTTTCGATAGTAGATATATGATATAACGGTAAAACAAGATTTTAGGATTTAAATTCAAAAATCAGAAGTAAATAAACAAATATTTTTTGGAAAGGTTTGAAGTCGTTGAAATCGAAATTGTTGAAATCATTCAAGGGTATAATATAAATTTAGTCGTATAGTGTTAATATTGTTAGCAACGTTTCAGTAGTTTGCTGCAGTACTGTAGGATTGTGTATTTGTGCGTATATTGTTTGGAACCCAAGTTTGTTCACGCACTTCACAATAATATTCAAAACAGGTTATTAATGATACGCATTTACTCGTTGACAACTGTTGTATATGGCTGCAGCAAAGGTTTAAGATTTGTTCAAATGGTGGTATACATAATGTAATATTTATTATAAGTTATAAAGCACGATTACAAACAAATTATAAGAGGAAGTGCCAAAGCGATAAATCCAATGCTGCAGCTACAACAGGAACTCGCATTGCTCTACTAACTTTTCCAAAATGATGCCACATCAAATAGTCCATCACACCTTGTGTCATGCCTTTGGATTTCAAATATCTACTGTTCAATTTTTGATATCCGTACTCGATCCAACCGGCTGGCGTTGACACCACGTTGATCAAACACAGCGCTTCGACCTGTAATACGCCACCAATAAAATATTTGAGAAAATGAGCACCATTTTAAAAATTACACACATATTACATATATACTTTATCATAATCTTATAGTATGATATACGTACATTAAAATTATAATGTTTAAAAATGGTGACGGCACCACTGTGCCTATTTATATTACCTTTGTTGGTTGTCTATAAGCGAATCGAGCCAAAATATTCCCACCAGCTCCCACTCCAAGTCCGACGAATGATTGCAAACCGAAGTATCTTAAAACATGATCTAACTGATTAGCTAACTCGTCTATACTAGGAAAAACGTAACTGAAAAAAAAAACAAATTAATTTCGACGTAAAATTAATGTGTCAATATTTTTACAAATTGATAATTTATTTTCCATTCAGGGTAATCGTTAAAACCTTAATATAATCATTTTGATGAAAGTTTAAAAAAAACATTCATACTTTGTAAACTATATATTATTTTAAATGTAAGAGAAAATGAGCTCATAATCATTTCAGTTTAAAACTAACGATAAACATACTATATAACGTGAAACATTTCTTTTTTTTGGAACTTAAATCGAATATTTCTATACCTTTTTAAGATCCTCGAGCAATTTATTTTTCACATTGCCATTTATGTTATTTTTTATTATAGTTTTAGCTTTGACGATATATTTAACTGTTAATACCAATATCTTATTATATTTGACATGAATTCTGCATAATGATTTAGTCATTGTAACGGCGAGTTGTGCCTACATTTACATCCATTCATCAAAATAGTATAACAATAATTTAGAATGTAGATAGCAATAAAAATGCAGTGAATATAGTTTTATCAAACGTAATACGTAAAAAAAAAAAACATTAACGATGTCTGATTGAGTATTATTGTTACCTGTAAACACAATATAGTGTTAAACGTTCGAGATATAAAATCGAACGGCATAAACGTATTTGAAATTAAAGAATTAATCATTTAATTTATTTAATTAGATAACCTATAACCTTATACAGATCACAACTCATAGTTGTTAATTTATTACGTGTGCCATTTAAAAACTACTAAAGGTTGGAATGTCTAATAATAATTATTATATCAGTATATAAATAATTATATACTCATTAAAAATTATTGTAATAAATTAGTTGATTAACCATTAATATTATGTAACAATTTGTTTTTCTATAATATATTATAGCACGATAAATAGTAACTATATTAAATATATTAACCATTAGCAGTGGATATTCGTATTCACTGGTTGGACAAAACAAATAATTAATATTAAATTAATAACTATACAAAAACGAATCGTTTCCATGGTTWTATAATATAAAACAATTGATAATTTCATAAAAACAATGACAAAACTATGACAAAACTATGTAAAAAAAATGTTAAATGATGTACAGAAATTAGAAAATTAGGCAGCTGCATAGCAGAGATGTATAAATATATTTAAATTTAATCAGAAAAAAAATKAAATTATAAGTAAATTTGAGCTGATCTATAGTTTACCATAGAAACTGTTGATTTAAGCAGTTATGWCTATATTTCTTAATATTCATGGTTTCCTCTAAAATTTATTAGAAATAAAGACTTTTTGTGAAACCTTTACGTTGTATGCGATTTTTTAGACATTTTCAGTATTTTTTACAAGTTCAATACCCTAAATTACAATTACTAAATAAAGGATAGGAGTGAAAACCTACACCATTTAATCTTTATTTTTCTGGCAAAAATCTGAAAAAGTTCATGAGGTACCTTCAAAATATAGGTGATTGTATTGAATATAAATATACATAGTCAATTACAGTAAATGAATACAATTATAGTTGTGTAGAACGTCTTATAAAACTAAAATACTAACAATAATCAATAATAAAAAATAATAAAAAATAAATAAGAAATACATTAATAATAAGATTATCGTATACTTAAATAGATATTAATCGATATATTATATTAATTAAAACCTTAATTAGTTAAAAAATAGAAACAATAATAATTAGTGTATTAGTGTATTATAATCTTTAAACATTGTATGTATACTTGAAAAAAATTATAAAAAATGTTTCATTAAATTCGTGTTTATGAGTTTTAAGTAGCTTTAAATATCGATAAAGTAATGTGTTATCCGACCAAGCTATTTCTATTTAAAAATTATTATATGCTTTAAAATTAAATTATAAGTTTCATTACACACAATATACGTATTAATTTCCCCTAACATACAGATATATTATTGGTATGGATATGTTTTGGTCACAAGCATCAATGACCGCTACTAGTAAAAATTGRTTTCTAATYTGAATGCCAAAGAAAAATATCCAACTAAAAGTTCAATCTTAGGTAGTTTTAAAATTTTWTTTTAAACATAATAAACTGCTACCAACAACTAAATCAAATAAATATGGAAAGTCTGAACTCTACAGTAGAGTGAAATTTATAGAGTATAATATGTAATTAATTTGAAATTGATTATATAAATAATTGGGAAGACTGTCTGAAATAAAACTTAACATTTTTTCGCATGTTGTTTAGTTGCTGTCCAAAAACCGTATTTGGAATCAACATCATATCAGAATCTAATTAATATGTTTAACGCACATGTTATAGGCACATATCTATAATATTCTATCGTGATCTATACCACGAATTATATATATTTAAATCTGTAAACTAAAGTCTTACAAATCTGTTTATAATCTATCTATTAATAATATAATTTATAGAAATTATGAAAAAAAAAAACATTTTCATGATTGTGTAAAATTAATTTACATGTCCGATATTTAATCTACAGCGCACGCAGCTAATATTAGTAATATTACAGTTTAAAAATAATATAGGTGATAAAAATTTTTTGTATAAAAGCCGGTGTTAGAGCTGAAATCAACATTATAGTTGTTCCGCTCAAGTGAAAAAAATGAAGTTTGTAATCGTTTTAACTGCTGTTTTGGCTTTGGCCACGGCTGCCACACTGCCGTGTACGTACATCATCACAATCATTATTATTATTATTATTATTATTGTTGTGGTTTTTGTTGTTGTAGATGTTATAATTAATATAACTATATGTATAATTGTATATACTGTATTTTTATTTATTTTTTTTTTGTTTAACGATTGTAATAATAAATACGGTAATTTTTCAGCTCAAAAATTGGACAGCCAAAATGAATTGTTCGAATCGAATGAAAACTACGATTACAACAAATACACCCAAGAAAAGGAAGAATGCGATTCTATCGCAAACTCTTTCAACGCCATCGTAAACGTCATAAGGCAATACAAAAATGACGTGGCCAAACCCGACAACTCTAGATTTAACGTAATTTCTGTCTCAGACACCGTAAACATCGGCTTCAACGCCGACACGTTCTTGACCGACGTCCGCGTCATGGGATTAAATAATTTGAACAGCCAAAATATAACCATTAAATGGGGAGAAGATTTGGTAAGCATATTTGATATTTGACGATAATAGACGCAGTGGTAAGTACTCGACTTATTAATTGGATTGTCAATTGATATTAGTTATTGGTAAAATAATTTTTAATTCTGTATTATTTGCATAAAATAATTATTATATTTTTTACACCTCAGATCTACGAATCACATCAATTATAACGTAAATAACTTTAAATGTATTTTACTGCTTACACTAGTTTAAAAACCCAAATTTAAAGTTTTTGAAAAAATTTAAAAATAATACAACTTTTAAACTGTAAAAATAGATACCTATTAACATTTGTTTAACATCAATCTTTTAATAAACATTAACTTATATWTTTTTTTTAAATCTCAATATTTTATGATATTGTATTTTTWAAATTTAAATTTAACATTCTAAAACATAATAGTATTTTAAGCAATTCGATGCATAAATATTAAATATTAAATAGTATTTAAGTACTTATTTGACTATGGTATGAATAATAAATGGTATTTCGTTTTAGTACCTATAACAAATAAAGCTAACTATTAAAGTATTAACTCAACAATAAAATATGTAATATTTAAATAATTTTGATTTAGTAAAAGAATGCATCAAGTTATTTAATAATTTTATCAATACGTATAAGAATAGTTTATAATATATGGGCTTACTTTTAATTTAAATATTGAATGACATACTTTTAAACATCAATGCACAATCAGTAAAACTAATTGAGTCCGTAATTTTCTTGTGTTATTTTTACGGGGAAATTATATTATTTGATTTCGTTTTCACAGGTCCACGTCACCAATAGCTGGGAAAAACTCGCGGTCAACGGAGTGTTCCATTACACAAACACCGTAGCCAGACATAGTGGAATATTCCATTTAGACATTATCGAACCTAAATACGAGGGTGAAACTATACTCACAAAAAACTCGAACGTCTACCCATTGATGTCGACCGTCGGTTCCGTTAAGTTCGAAAAGTTCATCGTCAACCACACCATGTTGCCGGAAGTGTTTCAAAATGATAAACCACAATTTGAGTGAGTAACTTGGTCAAAGTAAATTGTAAATCACGGAGATTAAATTTAGTAATTGATAGAAAGCCTTATTTTTTAAAATATAAATTATCATTAAAATAATCATCAAATTCGCATACCCGGGGATCCTCCTCTCATATCAATATTTTAAATATCATGGAATAAACAATAATAAATATATTAAGCATATAAAAAGTCACAAACAATCAGACTGAAACGTCTTTACAAAAATGGCAAAAAATCAAAAATGTGGTTACATTAATTATTATTTAAATTAAATTGATACCTTTAATAAAATTAAATACCTATAATTTTATTTACGAGATGAAACAGATAAAGACAAAGATTAAAACTATTTTGTCCAAAATAAAAATTGATGTATTGTTTTAAAATGATATATCAAAAATTGTTTCATTTTKTTATAAAATACTAATCAAGAGTAAAAATGTTAAATTTGTTGAAAAGAATACATACCCGTAGGCCCTGATCTCCGGATCTATGCATATAATGTTATTAAGCAACAGTCGAAAAATGTTTTAATTCTGAATAATTTATCGTTTTTTCTGTTTAGTTATTTTGTCAAACACACCATACCCCAATACGTAGCCACSGCTAAAGTCAACGACATGTACAACGACGTTGCTCTGCAAATCAGACGGGTTGTCAAGCCTTACATGGTATACAGGAGCAACAAAATCACCAGCGAAACCGCGTTACCGATGATCGGTAATCTAGCCGACGGATTCCGTTTCGAGTTAAAAAACATCGATTTCGACAACTCCAAGAACAACTTGGCCAAGATTCCATTCGTACAGGTGATCAAGACCAACGAGAAATGTATCGCCAAAATCGAACTCCGCCTGTTGGGATTGACTGGAGAATTCGAAATCGTCATGATGTCACCCAATGGCAAGAGTAACAACCGTAGGGCTACGTACACAACCGACGCCGTCAAGGTGGTTTGCAACTTGGACTTCGTCGGAAACAGTGTTCACACCATGGTTCACGTCACAAAACCCCAGATCCACTTCACGTCGACCGACTCCGATTCCGCTGTCAACTGGTCCGACGTTCAAAAACAGTTGGTCCCCCACTTCGACGCTTACTTCATGAGCACCCTCGAAAATGCCATCAACCGCAACGTTCAACAGTCCATGATGTAACAATATTAGTTACGAATAGATCATTGATCCAACTTATACATTTTGTGCAATAGAAAATAAGCCAACAAYATGTTATAACTGTTGATGTATTAAAAATAAAAATGTATATGATACGATAATAAAACAAWGTTTCCATTCTTAAATTATTGCTATGTGATTTCATGAAACCAAACGAATTTAAATAGTATATGACGTACAGAACTACGTTCGTTTGAACGACATGACAGTATTATTATGCATGCAAAAATGTAAAAACAATAATATGMWAATGTCGTTCGAACCGGAARATATAACACTTTTCATTTCATTCATTAGTTTCACATCATTATAATATTTCTTTCTTATACTCGTATTTTAAATTTTAAACATTTAAACAAATTAAACAAAAAAAAAAAAATTATTATAAAATTAAACGTTAACTTTTATTTTTAACGCTACCTATTGCATTCATTTAATTATATGAAGAAAATTAATTTCGAATTATATCTAATTTACATGAATTCACATTACAACCAATTTAAATAGTATTRAGATTAATTTTAGTATAATATTTTAAATATTTATGTAAATCAAATTTATCATAMAATTTAATTTTTGTAAAAATTAAAAGCCCCAATGTTATCTGCAAGTAATGGCGAGTAATACTATTTCAGGGAACACTACATCTAAACAAACAATATGAATGATCAAATGGATTGAATGTTCTAAAAACATATAGGTACCGTATGTGAATATCCATTATATTGATAGATTAAGATATTTTAGACAACATAAAATGTAATTTTTAATTTAAAAATTGTTATATGTATAAGTCTTACGTTGAATTTATTGTAAATAAARTCACAAGCCGATAGGTACATTAAAAATTTAAAATACATTGCAGTTCCAAATAATTTATCAGATTGCTCAAATATCTGAATAGGTATATGAGAATGAAATGGTAATAAATTTCTAAAAACAGAACACATAATTGACGTATGAAAACATAACTCRTGAGCATTAATAGTTCACTTATCAGCATRGATAGGTACAATTTKAATTCTATTTTTCATAATTCATAACGGGGCTAGGTAAATTGAGTCCGAGATAAGTTTAGTACATTTTGGAAGCGGTAAATTGAGTCTCGGGGAAAAATAGGTAGTAGGTAAGTTGAGTCCCGGGAAAAATAAGGCAGTAGGCAATTTGAGTCCCAGGGAAAAACGATTTATATGCATTTTAAATTTAAAAATGTGYACTATACAATTTTTATTTGTGATTTGTGGACATTCATTGACTGCATGTATATGATTTTGAATATAGCAACATGCATTTTTATTAATTATATAATTATTTTTTATGCAATAAAAGTACATGTTGCTATTTTCAAAATCATATACATGCAGTCAATGAATGTCTACAAATCACAAATAAAAATTTTATAGTGCATATTTYTAAAWTTTAAATGCATATAAATCGTTTTTCCCTGGGACTCAAATTTCCGGTGGAGTACGATTGCGCGCGTTTTACCTTTTTGGGCATACGATTGCGCGCGGTGCCGGAATAACAAAGACAAAATGACATTGACTATTCAAAAGCGTACRAATGCGCGTGRAATTGGATGCGACATTGCCAATTTATTATTAAAATTTAAAATAATTATTATTAATAAAAAAAGTTATAAAAAAAATTGTTATTTGCCGTATTTGTTGTTATTGTATTTATTTATAATAACATTATAAACGTGGCATCACGTGTCAATGAATCAGTAAAAAATAGCACAAAAAGTTACAAATAGTACAAATAGTTACAAAAAATAACAGATACTTTATATTCATACTTAGTCTACCTAAAAAGTTCGGATATTTACCATGCACCTATAATCTGTATATTTGGCAACGTTGMTTAGAAGCAAAAATAAWTTAGCAMGCGCAATCGTACACCTAAAAAGGTACCGTTGATAAGGACCGCGCGCAATCGTATTGCAGCCCAAATTACCTACTACCTTATTGTATCTGGGACTCAACTTACCTACTACCTATTTTTCCCCGGRACTCAATTTACCGAGTTAGGGTCATTYGGGACTCAATTTACTAACCCCGTTCACAACACCATAGACTATCAAAAAACAAAGACCTTAGGTCTGGTACTGTGTATTTTTACTCTGTATCATGACATCAAAAGTACGTATTGGCCACGAAGTATGATGATGTAATTGTATACAATATCATCGTCGGTATAATATATTAAATCGTACAAGTCGTAACTCCATTTTTTTCGATTTTGGGATTATTCGTGATAAAAACGAAGAAAAAAAACTTATGACAYGATAAAGTCATGATTACAATTATACAATTTTATCTTCCACGAAATCGATAATTAGAAGTCGTCGTATCTCCATATTACCATGGTATAATATATTATATAAATACTAGCCGAACCCGTGCACTTCGTAGCCTATTAAAAATCCTACCTCTCATATGTCTCAAACTTGAAACTGTGTGTTAAATTTGTTACCTGTGTTTATGCTGGCTGCAGTATATTTTTAGGCATATAGATACATGACGATTAAAATATATTAAGTAATAATCTTACTACGATATTCAATTTAGGTTATCATTATGTAATTCTATTTACCAAGATTGTCTGACCTATTCAATTTAAYGATATTTAGACATATCACTTTTTAACTAAGCCTATGTCTTCTGTACATAGGTCTAATATATATCTGTACCAAATTTTGTCGCAATCAGTCCAGCACTTGGAATGGTATGTAATGCTGGCAATTTTACTTTTCCGCCATCACAGAGCATAACTGAAACCACATTCTTGAATTTGAATGCTCTACAATATATGCTYTATTTATCTATTTTTCTTGGATGAATACTGTAATTATAATTATACCAAATTTCGTCGGTTCACCAATTGAAATTGGAATGCCTTTATGCATAAACCCAGACATCCATTTTTATAGATATGGCTATCTATAAAAATAAATGTCTGGATTGTCAGAGGTAGAACTTTTAATGGGCTATGAAGTGCACGTGTTCAGCTAGTATAAATGTAATATATTTAAATAATAGATCTATATATTATATATTATTGAATTGTTTCTATGGTCTGCAAATAAATTATGATAGTATGATATCATATTGTGAGAAATGATTTTAAGCGTGAAAACGGGAATTCTTTGATTGAAACATGTTTGGAAAAAATAAAAATAGATTTAATCATCATTTTATAACCAAAAACCGGCAAGATACTAAAATATGCTTAAATATTGAAATATAAATTAATTTGTGATTGCATGCATATATAAATTTCATATTTTTAAATTACCAATCATTGTTGTATTTAAGTTACCTACATATCATAAAAGTAAAATTAAGTAGATACGTTTAATAATGTTATAATTTTTTTGTTTTACATTTTACCAATGCAGATTTAAGCCCATTGTAATTTTACTTTTTAACGTAATAATATTCGAATCCGAAATGTAGGCTTCATACTTTCATATTATATCGTCGAAAGCTACTTTTGTATTACTCTTCAATGCCTTAAATCGTTAACAAAAGACTCATTGTGATGGACTGAAGTGGATGCGTTGACTACGTGCGTCGCTCCCTTTTTTCCCCCGTTAAAATAGAGTTAACACAGCTTGCAGTTTTATCAACAAAAAGGTCATTCTTCTTATTTTTTTCTCGTATATTTTACTACATTGAGAATTGTATTCACTATTTAATCAAAAAACAAAAAAAAAAACATTAATCGTATACATTCCACGAATTACTTCCGCGAATGTTAAATTAAAAAGCTATTCACTATATAGATACTATTTATTACGATGCCCTCCTCGCATATAAACATCTAATGGTGATCGTTAAACCGTATTACTATTAAAATGTTATACCTATTATGTATTTATACATACATATTATCAAAACATTTAAAAYTGGTACTTAAATAATACATTTTATTAGTGATCAGAAACTATATTAAGTATTTAGTATTTGTCAGTTACATCCCAAAAATCATAAAATACATTATAAAGAATATTCAGCGCAATTTTCCAATAAAAATAAATAAAAATTAACACGTTATGTCACGCATAGTGCTATAAGTACTTAATCGTTTGTTAATTTGGAAGTCAGCAAAATTATTTATTCATTATTTAAGCTAACACTGGTCAATACATTTAACTTTAAAACTTATTAATGAGATCATAAAAATATTTACCAACAATAATTAAACTATTGAATAATATGTATAGATATTTCAAATGTTTTATAGTTTATAAACAAACCAATTATTAATTAAATATAGTCTCCTGTACCATATTATAGTTATATTTTACTAACGATATACAACGAATATTAATAATTTAACTTTTTATAAAACTTAAGACTCACTAGTTATTTCAAGTTTGTATAAAATAAGTTTAATAACAATGTATTGACTATAATAATTGATTTTTTTTAAATTAATATGAAATGTTAATTATTTTTGATGAGCGATGAAAGATATTATTTATTTATCATAAATTATATTGTTTGTACCTACATAAAACACAATTTAAATTAATAATTGGATTTATTTCGAGTTTTTAATTGCATTGATTAATTTCCAAACCACCCTCACTTATACACTGGCCGTATTTTAATTTAGAAAATATAATACATTTAATTTAAATATTTTCTATATAAACTAGTTTGTATWMAAATAAAAAAAAACCAATTCAGTAAGGAAAAATCTAAGGAAAATATCTACCCTAAAAATAAATGGTAATAGCGACTCACAAAGGAACAAACCATAAAACAGATACGTTTATTTTTGTATTACATTTTATTGCCTTGCGTTAATTGTTTTAATTTTGTTGTTTAAATCTATTTCAAAATTATAATACCTACCTATACAGTATACAGTATTCATATTTATTCAGTTTATTGAGTATAATAGTCATTGATATTTATCATAAAGGCTAATGTGTTAGTTTAAAAAATAAATACAGGTGTATGGTGTACCAATACGAGTTCTATCGGTTTCCTGCTTTACAATTGGAATTAAACGGTTACCTGTGCTGTATAAATTTTCATTTCTTGTTGTTACTAATTAATAATTCTAAATCGTAGAATAAATGGTAATTAAGAAAATTAATTAACAGCAAATCGATTTAAGATTTTTAAAAAATGTTTTAAATATCGGTACAATCAATGAGAAAATTGTCTGATAATAACATACTTATAATATTATTGTAATTAGTACCTACCAATTATTATACTTTAAAACACTTTTTTTACAATTCTTATCTTTTTCATTTCATAAACTAACGTTATTTGAAAAATGCATGTTTGTAAGTACCTATTGAATCATTTAAATAGATTTTGTTTTTTTCCAATAATAAATACGTCCCAAAYGTAAAGTCAATTAAAATGAGCCTAGAAAATCTAGATAATTCTAAAATTATAACAAGTATTTCGTCAGTACGTTCCTACATAATTACCTACACCGYGGCGCGTGTTTTACATAAAATAAAATATGATACAATTTAATAACAACTTTGACCTAATGRTGTCTATTAATAATATACCACACGGGCGTGTGGTAATTAGCAATAAATATATTTATATCGACTCGACACAAAATAATATCGATGATAGTTAATGTTATGTTTCATATAAAATATTTTATTTTCATAAAAAAAATTAATTATTATATTATGAATGAAGTACCTTGAATGTGACATATCTTATATTTTCCTACAAGAAATAATTAAACAATTATCAACAAACGAGATTAATTTTTATTGGATATAAACAAATAAATCGATAGCCATAACAATAATGTATTAATGTAATAAAACTGTCAGTGTTTAGTGGTCATAGTTTACGTAGAATAGTGTGGACGCAATTTTAGATGTAGTTACATACATTGGATAAACTATATTATATACCTACATTAAAAGAGTAATATACTAATTACTAACTGACGTTACTATATCATTAACATTTAGCAGCGTGTAGAACATTAAAGCAATGACTATGAGCTATATTAAGATGTAATAGGGAAATTCGTGCTATATAAATTACAAATAATTATATATTAAATATATACAAATTTATAGTATACAAATTTCAGAAACAATTAATTTTCTAAAATGTCACTACATGACAAAATGTCAAAGCTTCRTACTCATAACATATTCCGAACGATCATAAATAGTATTAAAATAAAATTAATGTCATTGATATTTTATGCAACAAATTATACGATTTACACTGAAATTATTAAACTATATTTTAATTTAAAACCACAATGTATTACTATTATTTTT